CGTGGGACACAAGGTCCACGGGGATCTGACTTTGCTCCTAGGATGCTTCCGACTCCCACGACCCAGGAAATCGCGACAATCTACGACAAATGGAAGCTGCCAGGTAATACTTACTGGGTAGGGAAACAACGATGAGCCTGGACTATGCACGCGAATGGGACGAGATGAGCTTCGATCGTCCAAGCCAAGTGTGGGCCGAGGCAGAGCACGACATTGGGATACTAAGGGACTGAGTCACAACCCAGCCGGATCTGGGTGGGTTTCTCCAGGTCAAACTAAAATTGGGCAAACCGGTATGGGTTTAACCGACTCAAACCAATTATGACCGAATCGGGCAGTAGGGGCATCAGTCTTGAAGGGGGCGAAACGGGTCGTGAGACCAATCCGAGGAGCAATGTACAGACTTTACCCTCCGTGAAAGTCACCTGGACCGGACATCAGGCCACCTTTGTGCCACTAGGAGGTTGGACAAGGCTCTAGACCTTGATTAGGAGACCATTCGGATGATGAGGATGGTTGGGCATATCTGCCACCACCCTGACAATAGTAGAGGCGCACCAGCAGTAACTTGCACCACCATGGAGGTGGTGATCACGACATGTATGAGGGTTGTTTTCTACTTATGATGGTGATGATGACTTGGTTTTTAGGGTTAAGCCTCCGACCATTGAGTGTCCAAAATTTAATGGGCAAGAGGATGCAGCCTTGTGGATGTATGCTTCTGACAGTTGGTTTAAGAACCATTCTACTCAGGAGGAAAGGAAGGTGCACATGGCGCCTTTCTACCTAGAGGTGATGTCCTCCAGTGGTGGGAATTGATGGAAAGGTCTTATGTAGAAGAAGACATGGAGATATCATGGGGGTGCTTTAAGGAGGAGTTGAAGTTTCAGTTCGGCAGATATTAGGGGTGACACTAGAGTAGTAAGCCAATCTGAAACAAACTAGCACAGTAGCAGAGTACCGGTCGGAGCTCCTGAAGTTAGAGAACATGTGTAAGGGAATGCAGAGGAGACACTAGTGGGTAGGGGTGTAAGCTTGACCCGGAAGGCCCACTGACTCGTCCCGACCCGTCCCGTCCCCAAGGGTCGAGACGTGTCAGTTTGTCTACAGGGTAAGATTAGGGACAAGTCATTTATTAATCCTGTAAGGGTCGGGACGGGTAGGGACAACTTAGGGACGGGTGACTTTTTGACCATGTGACCCTTAGCAACAACAAATATCTCACACCACATTGGACCTCTTTATAAAGTTTTAAAAGTTTAGGTACTAACTTATAAAAATAAAAAGTTTTGGGTACCACACGTAATTTTACCATCAAAATTTATGGACTTATTTGTAAAAAAATAAATTTTAGGTACTAGATTGTAAGAAAAAATCATTTTGGGTACCAAAACGTAATTTGTAAAAAAGTTGTGTGTTGATTAGGATCGACCCACTGATCCGGCCCGTCCCAACCCGTGAGGGTCAGACAGGGTCAAGAAGGAGACAGGGACGGGTCAGTTATACATCTTGACCCTTTAGGGACGGGACAGACAAATTTTCAACCCAAACTAGTAGGTCTGTGTATGGCAGGGTTGAAGAATGAGATTGCAGCTACTATCAAGTATTTGAACCTAACTCATTGAAAGTGGCTTTCAGGTTGTAGGTTGAAAAGAAGAGGAGATGACTAGTTGAAAGGGTAGTGTGAATCGCTTCTAGAGGATGACCGGGGGTCGAGGCAAAAGCGTAAGAACCGAAATGGGAGGTAACCCCCCACCAGCTATGACCCAGACACCAATGGTGGAGGTCCAAGCTACATAGGCAATCCCTACCGTGGCTCGACTAGGTCCACGACTACCTCCACGTGGCTTCGTGAGACTGACAGCTGCGGAGATGGAGCAGAAGTGGTGGGAGAGGCGTTGCTTCAACTGCAACGAGAGGTTCACCGTCGGACACCAGTGTGCCAACACCCACCTGATGTTGTTGATAGCGACCTTAAAGGACGAGGTAGAGGAGCTAGTTGCGGAGGATGGCAAGGAGAATCAGAAGGAAGAGTGTCAATCTTGAGGGCAAGATTAGTCTCAAGTAGGGATGTCAATCCAACCCGTAACCATGGGTACCCTACCCGACCGTAACCGGTCAACGAGGGTAATTACCCACTTTGACGGGTTAAGGGGCGGGTATGGGTAATACCCGGTTTCAAAATAAAGGGTAGGGTACGGGTATGGTAATCAGTGGCGGAGCTAGGATTTCAAACTACCCCTGTCCTTTATTCAGAATATATAATATTTTATAAATAATCAACGAGTTTTCATATTATGAAAAAAATATAAAATATATTCATTGTTTACACCATTATATCGTGATAATACCTAACGAGTTGTTGTAAAATGATAGTGTCATGTAATTTAATTATTTTTTTGTGAATTAATGAACAAGTAATAAGTTATGTTGTAATGTTAAAATATCCTTATGTTACTTGTAAGCGATTAATTCGATCTGTACAAATATATGTGGGTTTATTTTTTTCCCTCCCAAAAATTGCCCCTGTCCCGGGACAGGGGCAAACACCCCTGCCTCCGCCTATGATGGTAATCGATAATACCCGCTCCGTTATACCCGCCCCGCTAACCAAAGGGTCAATTTCCCTTGAGAAATTTAGATTAGCTTGAGAAATTGAGTTTAGCTACCATTATTGATGATGAAGATGCAGACGATTATTATGTTTGTGTGGATTGTATAAGCAAGAACAATTATTATGTGTTTGCTATGTTTGATATTTTTATTTGCGTGGATTGTTGAAGCTCGAACAGTTACACAAACTGGTTCGTCAAAAACTTTTTATTTCTACAAGAAATACTAAATAAAGTATTGAGATTTTTTTTTATGAAGAAGTATTGAGAATTTTTAATGGACAAAAGTATGTATGTGCATATATGTGTATAAGTTTATAGTTTAGGAATCGTACCCATGGTTACCCGGTGGGTAGGGTATGGTTATATAATTATCCTACCCGGTGGTTATTTGGTCGGGTATTTTAAAAAGCTCTACCCGGCGGGTTAGGAGTTGGTATAGGGTAAACCCGCACCCGACCCTACCCATTGCCATCCCTAGTCTCAAGAGGGGTGGAATGTTAGAAACAAGGTTGTCAACCCGCGGGTTGACCCGGACCCGGTCGAGCTGGTGGGTCAAGGGTTAATGGGTCAACCGTTTTAGCCCGGTTTGGCCCGGAAATATGTAAAAAGCATGGACCAAGAAACCGGATCGTACCGGCCGGTTCAACCGGTTCAACCGGGAATCGGACCAGAAACGGTACGGTAAGCTGGCTGAAGGGATTTTGCCGTGCCGGCCGATTTTTCCGGCTTAACCGGTCCAAACCGACATACCGTCCGGTTTCATTCTAACCAGCGGTAACTCAAATTGAGAGAAACGCCGACGTTTAACTGAGTTAAAATTAAAAAAAAAAAAAAATTGTCATTCGTCGTGAAACCCTATTATCTAATAGAACGAAGCGAATCTGGAGGAGGGAGCCTTTCATTGTTTATTTCTTCCCAGCCCTGCCTCGCCGCTCATCTTCTCCTCTCCTCATCCTCTGGCGATCCGCAACCCTCGACCGGCGACCTGCGAAGCTACGACCGACGACCAGCGAAACGAACGAGTTGACCCTGCTCTGCCGCTCCGCCTCTCTGTTGTTACTCTTCCCTGCTCTGCTCGGCGAAACGAACGCGGAACGAGCCGACTGGCAATCTGTGACCGGCGAGAGGTCGAGCCACTCCGCCGATCCTTTCCGCTCCGCCGCGCCAATCCCTGCTCGTGTCTCCCTCCCTGCTCAAGTGCATCGGCATCGCAGACGCAGAGACAGAGCTTTGTAGAGACGGCTTGTTGTATATTGCCGAACCAATTAATCATCCTCAATCAAATTAGGTAAGGAAATATCAAAACCGTGCTTGTGTATACTGCTCTATGTTAGAGCTTTTTTTTTACAATTTTTGGTGCAAAAAAATGTCAAAACATTCCCTATAAATGTACAAATCTCTATTACTTGTGTCTATTAGTTTATTCACATTTGTTATCCGGTATATTCCGGTTTTATTCCGGTATTATTCCGAAACGGTATCCTGAATCTGCCGATACGGTTTTTTTACAAAAAAATATTATTTAATTACAGAAACGGTATTTTACCGGTACACAACGATTGAACCACGGTCGTACCAAAAAATACCCTACCACAGACGGATCCGGTATGACTTCCGGTACGGTTTCCTTTACCATGGTAAAAAGTCATTATATTGTAATTATCCTCATAAATTATATCAAATCTTATCTAACATATGAGTTATAACATATAATATTACACCAAAATAACATATCGTACTTAGATCCAACATATAATGAAATTCACACACACTTATATAACATAAATATTCAAATATTCAACTTAGGATTCCAAAGATTGAGTTGGGCGAAAAGAAAAATCGGAAAATAGGCGCATTTCGCAAATCAAAGGAAAAAATGACACAATTTGAACTCCAACCCGGTACTTTATAGCGGTCGGCCCGACGGGTGCGTACGACCCGTTTTTCTCATCGGGTCAGGGTCAAACTGGGTCGACCCGCGGGTCAACCCGCGGGTTGACAACCTTGGTTAGAAACATTGGAATTTTTTTGGATAATTAGGGATTTTTCCTATTTGTCGTATATTTATATTTTGTGACAATTGATGATTATTTGGGGCTTTAGGGAACAATTGGGGGTATATTAGTTGGGCCTTAAAAGAGAAATTTATCGGACTCTATAATTACTGGGATTATTCATTATAAGTAATTACCGAACAAAATTCTGTAAGCCTAGTCCATCTCTCCTCTTAACCTAACCGAATTTTCCCCTCCCTCTCTCTACCGCCGGCTTTCCCCTCCTCTTTGAGCCGAGTTCTCCTCCTTCCTTAATCACCAGCTCTCAGTCCTCTTCAATTCCCAATCCTCCTTCTACTCTCAAATCTTGGAACCCTAGCTGTTGATTCCTATATCCTAGTTCTTACATACAGGCATGTCTCATTTGCATCTTGGAAAGCCACCAACTTTCATCCGTATATGCATTCATCTCAACTCTATAAACCGACATCCGAGAAAGAAACGCAGAACATGACAGAACAAAGAGCTGAGAAGACGTTTCCAGATTTTCAACTTCTGTGTTCTTGTGTCACATTATTGACAAATGTTCATTCCATTCATTCTAGATACCCCCTTCAACTTCTACCACCACTACTTACTGCTACTATACTAGGGTCTATCTCTGTCTCGTGGCAAGTTCTGATGTACACATTTACTATTCGCTCTATAAGTAAATTATGAAAAGATTGAATATTGGGCGGCCTGCAATCAGGCAGAGTAGCCAATCTCTCTTAACAGCCGATGATGAGTACTCCAGTCGATCATGGGTTCCTTCAGCTAAACACAGCTGCAGCAGCGTGCAAGCTCTCCATAGTAGGATGGACAGCTTCCCTTGCGAAGCATTGTTTTTGGAGAAATTAGATCTCGTTTCATACTTCTTCCAACGTTAAGCATGGCTTGCTATCTATATCTTGAGTGTTTATGAACCCTCCTGCATTAACCAGGGTAACAGAAAATTTGGTGAAAAGTCGAAACACGACGAACAGCCAATTGGGAAGTAATAGGCATATTACTCATCCTAAAAGCAATCAATAAAACAACTGTAGCATTTTATCCATCTAGCAGTTAAACCAAAGTTCTAATCCTTTGATTCTATATGACCTAATTCAGTCCCACCCCCTAGCAGAAAGTAACATTTCCATGTCTCCATTTGAGGCTTCTCCTACCGTAGAATAGTCTCATTTTCATAATCAAACACAGCAGTTTGATATTTGTTAAGCAGATCTACACTTCTAGATGCACGCTTAAAAGGTTGCGACTTTTCAGTCTGACCCATTCAGTGTGATGCCAACTTGACAGATAATGAAAGCTTTAATTTCAATGGATAGCATAGCACAGTCATATGCGTGCCTATTATCAACATATATATGGATCTTCATTAGGAAATGATAGGTGCAGAGGGGTTTATAATATATCATTTGGAAGATCAGTCTAAACTACCAACTCATTCAGTAAAAATGATGCAGACCATCACATGAACGAAGGAAACAAGACAAGGTCAAGGGTTTTTCTTTGGCAAGAGATACTATCTGTGGACTACTAATTGAACATATTATTATAAGGGAGAAAGAAAAGGGGAAGGGAGGCAGTTAAAATAAACACAAATACCTTATCGAATGAGCCTTTCATCGCTTTCTGCCCCTTGTAGAAACCTGGCATTGATGTGGCCTTGAAGGCTAGGCTTTGCCTCAGTTTCTTTATCTCTGCCTCTTTCTCCTCCTTGTGGGGAAAAACCAGAATCCAAAGACAAAGTGAGAGTCATGGCCAATGGACAAAACCCTGGTATGATGGAAAAATCAAGCAACTGCATACCTTGGATTTCGTTCGAAGATGTGCACTTTCTGCCTCTTTAGCACTCGATTTCTCTTCCAGTCTCCTCAAGAACTGAAATGGGGTTTGGAGGAGATATCTTAGGATGGGTAGCGAATGAACTCATTCTTTCATCTAACTTGCAAATGAAGGGGAAAAAATCTTTATAAGGAGAGAGATGTTGGAAGGAGCTATTTGTACCTCCTTTCTTCTCTCTGCCCTTTCATCACTTTTCAAGGCAAAAGATGGAGCTGCCTTGGCATATCTTTTATCTGCATCGCCCGCCTTGTAAGAACTGTGTTTCCACATTATTTAGTCATTAGCAGTAGTCAAATCACCAGAAAAGGCTACAACTAAGCTGCAGTATTTATTCAATGGTATCTAATCGTTCACACATAAATCTCATAGTAAAGAACTCAAGAGCTAGTGTTCGCGCCTAAGTCATCTAATTGTACTTTTCAACTCTTCCATAACTATTTCATATGACATCTGAGAAAGCAGTTCCAACCGTTTTAAGTTCGAATCTAACAATCTAACAAATGAAGATAGAAACCTTTGTTACTCCAGACTAAGAAGCAAATCATAGGGATCCAAACAAAATAGCTATCATGGAAAGCACAGCCATGATCAACTATAAGCAAATAGCATTGAACAAATTATTAAGTTAATTACCCTCCATTCTCTCTCCGCGCTGTTGTAGAATTGGAAACTTTAACCTCTGACCTGGTTGATGCAACCTATGCAAGCAAAATGAACAAAAAATTAGAAAGCTGGACATCAATATTACTCTTTAAGAAATTTGACAATCTCTCATCAAATGGATGTGAACCTGCTTAGCTCCCGAAGTCATTTCTTGAGGTAGAGATGATTTGCTGTAACTATTTTGGAATGTCTTGAATGCCCGTTTCACGATGTCCTTATCACCCATTCTTTCCATAATCAATGACTTTCTTGCCGTCGAAGCAAGAGCAGGCGCACGAGGTGGTGGATAAGATTTTGGAGTATCCACACTAATAGACATATGCAAGGATTTAGGAGCCACTCTCTTCTTTTCAACTGTAAGTGGGCTTTTGCTCTTTGGCACTGAAGTCACGTTGCCCTTCTTTGTGAAAGACCGTGAAGAAGACACAGGACCAGTAGCTGACACTGGCTTCGTTACTCTTGGAGTAGAGCTTTGGGGCCTTGGATTTGCAGGCGATGCCTGTTTCTTCTTCACGATTGGAGTCTCCTTAACCTTGCTCATCGGAGTGACCTAAGTAAGAAGTGAATGTCAAGTTTCAAGGAAATTTGAGAAAGAGATCTCTCACGGTAAGACCACACACACTCACCTTTGCCGGTGCCTTTTTCTGATGATGTAACTTCGCCTTTTGCTGCTTTATTAAAGGAGTACTTTCAGCCTTATGATCCAACTTCGCATTTTGCTCTCCCATTGCTGCTGCTGCAACCAAGCTCTTTTCCTCCTCCTCCACTTCTTGAGACTCAATTGGTTGAATTTCTGGTTCCTCAACTGAAGCAGCTGGTTCCTGCTTGTATACTTCAGAGCTTTCGGTGCTTCCATTAAGTCCTTCCGCTTCCCTTACTTCTTTAACTGGGGTGACTAGAGTTTCAGTGCCCATTGGAGGATCTTCACCATGCTCATCATAATCATACTCCTCATTTTCTTTAACCGTCTCTGGCCTAAATCCTGGATCATAATTACCACCATAAGATTCATGGCCCACCACACAACCACTTTCCACTAGATCTCCACCATCCCGATCAGCTGACCTCAAGGTTTGCTGCTGCTCCAGCTGTCTCTCCTGATCCAACAATTCAGCCTTTCTGGCAGTAATCCTCTTGTAATGGGCTTCAAAGTAAGCCTTCTTCTGAGCTACAGATCCAGGGGTAGCACACTTCTCAACTTCCTCCAAATACTTGTTTGGAGAGAAGGTCGACCATATCTCCCAAGACAATGAATCATTCTCAAATCTCCCAAAAGAAACCGACACTTTCAGACCAGAATTTGAGGCACCCGTAGCTGTCTACTCATCAAAAATCCAAAAAGAAAAACAGGAAGACAACCCATCACTAAAGAGAGAAGCAGAAAACAAAATAATCGCAGCTCAAAAAGCCAAATAATTGGCAACCCACAACTGAAGAAAACCCTTTTTTCCCTGACAGATCAGAAATAGTAGATTTTGAGATGTACCTTATCTCCATCGTTCCACGAGGCAGCAACTATGGATTCGCCCATTGTTGTCGCCCACCCTCCAAAACCCAGAAGCTGAATTCACCTCAGAGCTACTCCTCTTCCAAGATCCAAGCTTTGCAACTAAGGTCTTTTAACTAGCAACGGGGGAACCCATGAAATCACAATCGAGGAAAGGGATAAGAAGAAGCATTTTTTCAACAATGAAGACAAAAAGAAGAAGCTAAGCCAGAGATTGAAAGAAAAAAGGTGTGAGATGGGGGGTGCATGTGCTTGTGTTTCACAGCCATTAGACCAGAAGCCAATCTTACTCACTCTTCTTCCCCCCACACATGTGTTTTTCTTAAATATTAGTTTCCAATTAATCAGAGAGCTTCTCATCTAGTCAGCTATCATTACTACCATTTTTTATCTCACATCAAAACAAGGAAGGAGAGACTTGTCTATTTCCGAGGCCATTCTGGAAACTACAGCTGCTGCGGGAAACCATAAACACAATCATCTCAAAACGCCAAAAATGAAGAACAGAGGTGAATAAACAATTACCCAGACGGAGGAACAAGGTGTCACTGAAAGATCAGGGCAACAAATACCCATATGACATTTTCTCAGCAAGATTCAAGCTTTTCCCCTTAAAATTTCCCCCTGTTCACATGGTAGAGGAGACTTGCTTATGGAAGCAGAAAACGTAGAAAGAGACAACCCAAGATCAAAACTTTTTTCTTTGTAGTTTTGCCAATATTAAAAGGGAACCAAAGGATCTAGTTGGGGCCTCACTCAATTATGCAATCAGAAAACACAACGCAACCTTCGGAAATGGAAAATGGTAAATGGAGAAAAGAAATGATTTTTTATTCTCTTATTATCTTGTTTGGAGTGAGACCGACTGTGAGATATAGAGAGTGTGGTAGACTTTACCCTTTCTGCTTCATTATTATTTGATAGAATAGGATTGGATTGAGAAAGAGGAACTAAAAGGAAGGGCAAGAGATTCAATTACCAACTAAAAAGGGGCTTAATAATTGATGTAGGAGTAGCTTCAGCCTTCCTTTTCTTTAAAGAAATTCAATGAAATCACTACCAAATTTTATGTATATCCGGTGCTGATAAGGGGCAAGGTGAGTAGGTCCCTGAGAATTGAGAAAGGAGTGATGGGAATGAAACAAAACACCATTATTAGAGCGGGCGAATGAGAGTGAGGGAGAAGATACCCATGGAATGGGAGGGGAAGCAGCAAGTAGGTTAGGGCTGGAAGTTTGGTACCGATATTTGGGATATATCAAATTTGTCTATATTTGGTATTACCAAATACATGTATTATTTTTGGGGTTGAGATTGAGATTCAATTTCAATTGTTATTCGGTATTAGGAATTACGAGATTGGGATCGGTATATACCGAAATATCGAACAATACCGAAAAATAAACTAGTATGTATTTTATCTTCTCAACTAGACTCTCTCAATTAATACTACACGACCATCAACCATCAATCTATTATTATTTTCATAACACTGAAAAGCAAACACTAGTATTAGTTTTCTCTTAGCCTCCAGTTCGTCAAATTAAAGATTACCAATGACAAAAACTTGAGATGTCACATCTCCTCCATTTTATTTGTCCATATCCTACCTCTAGCCAAACTCAAGACTCTTTGCTTAGTCTCTTTGTCCAATATTAAACAATCAAATATAATTTATATATTTAATTATTAATTATAAAGGTAATTAATTTCGTATTTGATAATACCGATTGGGATACTGAAGTACTGATTTGGATACCAAAATATTTAGGGATTGGGAAACCGAAATTATTTAAAAATTGAGATTGAAATTAATTTTATAGTGTAATTTGATATTTGGTATTGGATTACCGATACCGTACCGATTTCCACCCCTAGTAATGAAGGTGCAAGCCAGCTGATTGCTGAGGCAGTTTCATATGGGAAAGAACTAATAAGTAATAACTAATAAATGTGTGCCTCCTTTGAAAATACTTACCTAGTAACTATATATATATATATATATATATATATATGTGGTAATTAGCATAAAAAGTCACAAACTTATTCACTTTGTACAAAATGGTCACAAACTTTTAATTTTGAACGTTTTGGTAACATACGTTTGATAGAATAACAAAATAGTCATTTTGTCCATCTTCATCCAAAAAATCGTTAGTTTCGTCCAGTCAGCACGCCACATCACTTAAAATATTAATAAAAAATTTAATGACCAAACCTAATTGAACCAGACAACCCAACTAAAAACTCTAATTCTACACCACCAGAAATCTTTGATACTAATTAATAATAAAAAAATCTTGGAAGGGTGATCCCATAATTGTTTTTGAGAGATGAAGATCAAGAGACTCTTCCCTCTATGGCCATGGCAGGGCCGATGATGAATTAACACCTCCTTGTTCTTCCCCTTCAGAATTCATATCAGCAATTTAACACCCAGAACCCTTTCTTCTTCTTCCCATAATCACCTCCGCCGCCGCTCATGTTGTAATTAACTTATATCTTCTCCCGCCGCCGCCGACATCAACGCGGCGGCTTATCGCTTTGGGCGGCTAAGGAGCGAATGAGTACGAAACCACCATCGTTCGACCGGTGTATGTGTCCCACGCGCTTCTCTTCTTCCTCCTCCGCCACGGTTCTGAGGGCGACGGGAGGCTGTTCTGAGGGCGCGATTCTGGGAAGCGGAATCGCTCTGTAGGGCCGAGTGAAAAATTATAGTGTCCAAGAATTTTTTTATTTTATTAAGTAGTCTCCAAGATTTTGGGTGGTAAAGGATCAGGGTTTTTGGTTAGGTTGTCTGGTTCAATTGGATTTGGTCTTTAATTTTTTATTAATATTTTAAATGATATGGCATGCTGACTGGACAAAACTAACGGCTTTTTTGGATGGAGATGGACGGAATGCCATTTTGTTATTCTCTTAATGTATGTTACTGAAACGTGCAAAATTAAAGGTTTGTGACCATTTCGTATAAAGTGAATAGGTTTATAACCTTTTAAGCTAATTACCCCATATATATACCTTCTAAAACAAGACCGAATAGGTGATAATACCCATTAATATTAACGCCATACTAACAATACTAAAAAGAAAGAAAATAGGTGCTAATACCCATTAATATTAACGTCATACTAACAATACAAAAAAGGGGGGAAATGTAACATCCCGTTCTGGCAAAACCCATATTTCGATCGCTAGGAATTTCACGATTTAAAAACGAGCGTTTTGATAGTATTTCGGCGAAAATCAGATTATCGATCGATTTATTATGAGTCGATCCGGGACGGACATATAAAATGCCCCCGTCCATTTATTCCCATCATCCTCTTTTCATTTCCATTAGCGAGAGCGAGCAGAGCGCGGAGCAGTTCAGGGGACGCGGGGGAGAAAAATTACAAAGCTCGAATTGAGTTCCAGTACTCCAAAATATCCCGTAAGTAATACCTAATCCATCTATACATCGTAGTTTATCGATTTGGAGATTTAAAACGAATTTTTGGTTCAGGAATTTCTTGAATTCCCGATAAGCCAAATTAGGGTTTCGGAGTATTCGGAAGCCGGATTAAGCCCAGATTTCATATATGAGCTTCCTGCAGCGAGGTAATTAATTTCTATTTCTAATCCATGAATTTCGGCAATTATTTAGGTCGGGGTCCAAATCGCTGAATTTAGCTCCGACCAGGGGTTTGATATGTTTTTATCGAGAATTTGATCCGAAGCCTATAACTAACATTGACGGGGACACTGCAGAGAATATTAGGACGGTCTCGGATTTTGATTCCGGGTTCGTTCGTGAAATTGACGTTTTAGTACGGGAGGCTAGAACCGGTGTTTGAACGACCAGAACTGGTGAGGGATTAGCACGGCATACCGGGTTTGTCTTATCACGATAATTATATTGATGCTTAGAATTGACCTAGGTGAACTAGAATGGCATGATTAGGGGTGTATGAACTTTTGTGCTATATGTTGAACCCTGGACTGTTATATGATATTATTGACTTGCCCTAATCGATATGGACCTTGTTTATGCTGATGATTGCATACATGTTGTCATTTGTGGCTTAACTGTTGATATGACTTCATGGTTGTTCGATCAGGTGTTTTGACATGATGTGATATTGTGGTTGTATTTGGATTCACAAGTGGGGGAAAAAACTTTCCAAGGTGATATTATGATGTTTTAAGGAGGATGACTTGCACGAGGTTTTATCCCGAGAAAGTGCAACTATACGACTCCTGGTTTACCTATGTTGAGCCAATTATGGTCAGGTCAAGTACAATGTACATGTGCAAGTAACGAATTATGATTAAGCAAGATGAGATATGAATCATGTATAAGGATACCAAATATGAGTGTTGTGGTCTCACGGTCAACTACATAGTAATTAGGGTTCCCTATGCTATTACTCTATTATGATATGTATGATAGTCACACCTCTCATGTGGTGGTGACTGAAGATTTCTTACGAGATATGACCACACCCAGAGCATTGTCGGTGTATGACTACACCCATAGTGGTGTGGGGTATGTATGACTACATCCGACGGGATGTGGGGTATGTTTCCCAGGAGAGTTATTAGCATGGGAGTAGCCAGGCGCCTATGATTAAAACATGATAAGATGCATATGCATAAGTCAAGATGGTTGAGTCTTTTGCCTATTGGGATATCGGATGGCTGAGGTCCGATCCTAGTGCTTTGGCTTGTTTGCTAGATGTATGGTAGGGGTATGCTCTGTTATGAACTCACGATGCTATGATTATCTCACTCAGCTATGAGCTGACCCTCTTTTATTATTTTCCTCTGCTTATGTTATGTGTAAGCAGATCATCAGCAGTAGCAAGTACATAAGTGTGAGCAGAGCGAGGAGTTGAAGGCAGAATGAGGTATTGTCTTCAACTATTCTGTGCTTGGACGACTACCTGGGAAATGGCCAGTGATCCACACCTCTTTTGTAAAAATGTTTTGAGAATGTTTTTCATGTGCATACTAGCTTCTGGAGTAGTTTGAGATATCCACAGGTGTGAAAAGTTGATAGGTGTATATTTGTGTGGTTGTGTAAGTTGTGACGACTGTGGCTGTATTACTATGGTATACAGTTGTGGAGTATGAAAACTGTGACTATGGCTATGAAAAGCCAATGCATATGGTTGTGAGTATATATGTTTGTGATGAATTATTTTGCAGGTCTAGTTGCAAGAACTGTTAGCC